ATCCGGTTATGAAATACCCACCAATAAATATATTACAAACTCTTTTTTCAAATTTGAACTTCCCACTTCATCTTCTTCCTCGTGCCAGCTTAAACAACAATAATGTTCAAACTTCTAACTCCTTCAACTCTCAATCATTTTGAAAAATATAAACATGAAAGTTGCTTGAAATTTAACCACGAGTCCAACCATATAAATTATTTAACCTATGAATCAAAGATGAGTAAGAATTTATGTTGGTACCAAACTGAACCCTAATTTTTTTAGAAACTTCAGCTTTAAAATTCTCATTACTCAGGCAAGATAAATGAAATGTAAGCACATGGTTAGCTTAATGGCAATGATGTCTACAATTTTTATTCAGAAAGTAAACATTAATGATGGTTGTACATAAAATTCAAAGTTTAGAAAACTTACCTCAAAAGTGAGAATCGTGTTTGAAGTTGGAGCACTCCTGGAGGTGTTGTGATGATCTGAATAGCTTCATTGAACTCCCAAGAAGCTATTGCAATGCTTACTTTAGATTGAGAGTGGCTGGATTCTTCTAGAGAAGTCAAGTTGCAGAGTTCTGTTTTTAAAAATGGAGGATGATGAAGATGATGTTACAGTGATGAAACAGGTCTTTGGATAGGTTCTAATTGAGTTATAGAAGCTTTGTGATGGATTTAAATGAAAATGCACGAGTGGATTAGATGTTTGGAGTTCAAAGTCAAAATTTGCAACAAATGTGGTTTTGAATGCCAATTCTGATTTCAAAGTGTTTGAGAGGGTTAGAAGTCTTGTGAACTCGTGCTTTGCTTGTAAAATAGTGCCTCTACTTATAGAGAAAAGGTTTTTGAAGGCTCAAAAAATCATAACCCAAAGATAACAAGTTATGGTTTTTTGAAACATCACATGTGATTTCTTGATAAATCAAATTTCAATGTATGGTACCATTGCTCATAGAGTGGTTAAGAACTTTAAACACAATGTTTCTGACTTTTTAGATGGAGTGTGATCAGAGGGAACAAGTTAGAGGCTCAAGGAGTTTACATTATGTATAAAGCTTGCTTTTCAAGAATGGAAATGGTGCCTTTCTTCTAAAAAATGGCAAAGTGGTTCGGAAAATGCTTAAATCAAATGGACCATAGCTCAAAAGTTTGTGTAAACATTTAATTATGGTGAGATTTGAAAGTTAGGAAGCCTGAAAATCAAGATTATGTAGCATAGCATGAGGATTTGATTATGTGTTCATCAAGGAAATGACTTGTAATTCAAGAATGGATGCCCAACTTAATCTCTTCGAATCTCTTAGCTCAAGCATGATAAAAATGTGTTCTTGGACATTTTGTAAATATTGAAACATTGACTACAACTTTCATGTTCACCACTTTGGCTAAATCAAATTGGAACTTGGTGAAAATTGGCTAAGAAGTTGGGACAAAAATCTGACCAAACTTGTTGAAAACTTCTCTAAGTGTTAGATAAAAATGTCATGACTTCATAGGCCTATATCTCATAATCCAAGCATTTTTTGGATATCAACCCTCAAGGACAAATTTGTATAATTCATCAATATATACAACTTTCATCTTGCATCTTAGTGAAAAATGGTCATGAAATAGTGAATTTATCAAGGTCAAAACACTTAGAATTTTTCTAAGTATTGGAAATTTTGACTTTTTGTTGACTTTGTTGATTCTTGATGATAAAGCTTTACAAATTTGAATTTTTTGATGACTCTTGACCTTTGAAGTTCAAAGATGATCAAAAAGTACAAGTTTGACTTTTATGTGACAGTTGACTTTTCCTTAGTTGATCTCAATTTTTCAACTATCAATCTCTTGCACCTTTGAGAATGTCTTGGACCATGCAATTAGGTAAAGCTATTGCGTTTGAGTATTTAAGATCATGCTTCAAGTCATTAGGTCATGTACTATATCAAAAGTCAATGATCAGTCATCTTCAGTCAAAACCCTAATTTTGACAATTTTACCCCTTTGGTGATTTAAGGACTTTTATTCAGGAATTATGATCAATCATTAATCAAATGATGAATATCACATCAAAATGTTGATGTTGTAACAAAAAAAACTTGAAGTTTGATTGTATGTTGACCACAATTGACTTTTTACCCAATACAGCCGATTCTTAGTCATCTGAGCAATTGACTGAGCAAATTTGTGATGCAAGACTTGAAACTTGGTATGAGCATTCTTGGAGACTTATGATGAACCATGAAAGTCACTTGAGGCATTATAAGTCCAATTTTCCTTGAGAAACCAAAACCCTAGTTGGGGGTCCAGTGCTTATGAGCTGAGCTTATCTGATTAACTCTTGAGAATCCTTGAGCATTTGAGAATTTTTGTGAAGAATATCTTGAAGAAAAGGGAGGGAAAATTTTGGGGTACAACACCCCCGACGTGGTGTAAATGACTGCATTCATTTCCTTAACTTTTTCAAGTAATTTCCAATGTTCTTATTCTTTTTTTTTTTCAAAAAGTTTTCATGACCCCTCAAAGTCTTAAATGTGGTTGTTTTTTAGGAAAATATAGGACGTTTTAATATTCAAAAAAGTAAAAGAAAAACATGACTTGTTTTGGATGAAGAGAAATTTTATTGAAATTAGCCTCTAAATAGGCATTTTTACATGAGGAAACAATCCCTAAAAAGAGATGATTGTGTGAGTAAAAGCTTTAACTGGCAACAGGGAAATATGATTTCCACTGAGTTCTAATTCTTCTATAACCTCTATATCCTCAAAGCTCTTATCACTTTTGCTTTCAGAAGAGAATGATTTGATTAATTCATGTCCCTCGGGATCATTAGTTTTTGTTTGTAGAGAAAAGTCACAGATCGTAGTCATTCGCTTTTCAATCCCTAACTTTTGCCTGGACCGCCCCTTTGGGGGTTTTCAGTCCACCGGAATACTCTTTTTTGCCTAAGTTGCCCTTGCAGGTTTTCAACTTAGCGGGTGTACTTCTTTTTATTATTTTTATCCCTAATTTTTGCCTAGATCGTTTTCTTTTATGGTCCGTCGGGATGCCCATTTCTTGCCTAACTCATCGACTTAGCGTGTTTATTCATGCGAAGTATTTTTTAATTGCATCTGCATTCACTATGAGTGGGAAATCTTCACCATCCATGGTTGCAAGCAGCAAAGATCCTCCTGAGAAGACCTTCTTTACAATGTATGTGTTGCACCCCAAAATTTGCCCTCCTAATTTCTTTCATTTGGCTTAGACTTATGCATTCATCCACATATATTCAATTAGGTCGTCTGCATTAACATAGCATACATTCACATTTAATAAAGTGTATGCAGTTCAAAAGATCAGTGGATTATACATTAGAGCTTCACATCAATTGAGACTTCTACAACAAGTACAGTCTGATTCTTTTGTTTCACCTGGTTCTTTCTGTGAACATTAAAGTGTGAGATTAGGGCGTGAATTCTCATCATCAAGAACAACATGGTGTTCGGTGCTTAAACAGACGATTATGACTAGTTCAGTCATTAGAAAGGCACTTGATCTGATAGATTTATTGAATCATGATTAATTTCTCTGTAGGCTTCATAATCAGATGGCTTCTCATGATTAAAGTCTTGTTTGTTCTCATTTGTGTTGATTGCTCTGAACTTATGGATTGAATTGGGTTTCATTATTCATTCGAGTAATTACTTAAGGCAAAGTGATTCCATGAGTTCAAATGGTCAAAAATGGATCAAAGTTAGAAAGGTGTTACATGGTTGTCATGATGTACATTATCAAGTTCCTTAGAAACAATATCTATTCATCTAAATCTCCTAATGCGTTCAGATGGTATGAAAAGCTAAGATCATGATTCGCTAGTGGTTGGTTCAAAGATTTTATTCATTCATGAATTTCAAGATTTTGTTCAATATTTCCGCAAGGTTTTTACAAAGATTCATCCAAACATTTTTGGACAAGAGAAGCTCTCACTCATTCAAGCCCATTATGATTTAAGACATCATTCAAGTTATACAAAAATGCATTCATTCACATCAAGGCCATTACAAGAAGGCTACATATATCATTCCATCATCATTTTCAAAGGGAAAAGAAACTGCATTAAATACATGAAAAAAACAACATAAGCATATGCCTATCCCTGACACTAATATCCATCTTCAGTATTCTTCGTGTTCTCTTTTCCAAAAAATTTCAATAGCTTCTCTGTTTACATCCAATAATTCTTCAATTCTCTTTAAGTCCTCCATGATCAAAATAACTTTGCAACTTGGTTCTCACCCTTAACATCAAGCCTATGTGCTGCATACGACTAAAAACCATCCGAAACCAATTCGGGAACCGAAGCTATCTTGCAAAAAAACAGATTGACACTTCATCAACTAATGGCATATAATTAATTCATAAATTTAAACGTGAGCTAAGTCAATTCTATCAGTGCATAACATTTCAAGGCATTCCAACATAGTTCGGTTTAGAGTAACATTACCTCACATGTATCAGGTCCACATTTCAATCTACATTCACCTTTAAATCTGCATTCAGAGTCGACTTGTGTATGCAGCCCAGATTTACATTCTAAACCACTCAAGATTCACTCCATATGCACCTTCAAGTTCAGTTTGGATACACGTTAAAACACGCCTCTATTCCTCCTCTCACCTTCATCTTCATCATTCGTCACAGTTCACAGAAAGCCTCCTTCAAACTTCTCTCTGTTGTCTCCCCTTAATTGCTCTGCATCTTTAACCTTCCTTGATTCGTTATCTTCATACACCTTTAATCTTCATCAAAAATCGCAACACCCTCTTCTGCTTCACCAAATTTGCTTCTCATTAAATTCATCACAATCGCAACGACAACAACAACGATCAACATATCTACATCCTCACTCCTCCGTATTAATATCAACGACTTCATCATCACAGAAACCGCACTACATCAGCGACTCCATTGCTTCAACTTCTTCCTCAACACATCTATAACAGTCGTACAACATAGAACATCACAACAACATCATTCACGGAGTCACATCGAAAACAACATAAACACATGGAATCGCATGAAAAAGAAGATAGAAGGAGTCGAATAAGAGGAGGAATTGAATACAAAGCACATACTTGAGCATATTTTTAGATTTCTCGTTGCTATCGCAATCAATGCGGCACCAGGATGTCTCCGATAGGTAACACTCATCAATCTCTTGACTCTTTCCATTAGTTTTTAATGTTTGTTTTTGTTCGTCTGGTTTGGTTGAACCCACAGAGAGATAAGGGAGAAATGAAAACAAAGATGAAGAGAGTGAAACGAAGAGAGTGAGACGAAGTGTGTTGATAGATTCGAAGACGGATCCGCAAAGAGATGAGGTAAAGAAGATGCATTTCACGGAGACCTGCTACGGCGAAATGGATCGGAGAAGATTTATACGCGGCGACGAAATGGAGAGGAATGTTCAAAGAATTTGGACCGTCACAAATTCAAGCCTGAATTTCTCTCCATACGTTGCGTTTTAATAATCTTCCATATTTCCCATTTCGTTTCTTTTTTTTAGTTTGTTTTATAAAATTCTGAATATACTAATGTACATATGATGAAACAAAATTGAATCAGATGTGGATCTGTGTGCAACATGAAGCGGACTCCTTAGGCCCATATGCCAATTTTTGTATACATGGAAGTTGACACAAAAAAACAGCTTCTTATACTCAATCTAATGGGTCCAGCGTCTGGTTTTACTATAGCACCTCCTGCTTACAGATTGCATCCTCTATTTTATTATTTGCATTTTTGTTTAAATAATTTTGATAACTGTTTAGTTTGAACTTTTTCTTCGCATAATAAAAACAAAAACAAAAACATTAATAAAAATGTTATATTTTCTTTTTTTTGTTTGGAATTAAATCCCGATTATTCTATTACTTGAGATTTATAATTCACTTTTTTTTATTGAGATTTGAGTCTTATGCAGATTTATTGTGCGATATACGAATGCGCTTGAGATTTTGATTGTGATTTATTTTCACATCGATGATGCTTCGGTGCTTATTCTGAGCATTTGATTTCCGACTCTTTTCTTTGATCGGTGAATCTTACTCGAAGATCGTCGTGTTTCTTTGTTTTGATAGGCTTTTCTATGGATTGATATTTGTTTGGTTTGCTCTCTTTTATCTCATTTCAGCATTTTAATGCTTTATATATATCATGAGAAGTAGGAAATAAAGAGCGTTCTCTCTAAAGTCGTTGTTTAAAGACCTGTAGCAGGCATTTCGCACTTTATTTGCTATATGTGTTGGGCTTGTGTTTGCTTCGTTGGTTGTTGATCGATGAGTCACTCAATGTAGAAATTGAGACCACGACTTCGCTCCCAGTTCATGCTCCCTATAGGATTTTATTGCTTTCTTTGGTTGTTGATCGATGAGTCACCCAATTTAGAAATTGAGATCACAACTTCACTCTCATTGCACATTCCCTATAGAATAGTTTTGTTAGACTTTCTTTGGCATGCTAACCTAGATAGGATCTCTCTAGGTGTGCTCTCTTGAGCTTATTGGCTTGCTTGCTTGATTTCATCTTTGTGTGCATGTTTTGAGATGATATACCCTTGGCATGTTCCCTTAGGAGCTCCCGATTCATCTATAGACGATGATTTGAGATAGACATAGTTTTGGTGATAGGCCCTTACTATGCTTCTTTAGGACTTCTTGATCCATCTATAGATGGTGAGTCAAGATAGACATTAGGATTGTTATCCAAGCATGTCAGCATAGGGTAGAGATTTCCCTTTTATCCTCGACCTTAGGATCAATCATTGTATGATAACATTAGGGATAGATCTAGGTTAGTCTCCCTTAGATGCTTTTCTTTCTTTTGAATCCTTTCATTAAGACTAAAACTCTTTTTCTTGAAAAAGCATAAAACATCTAACAACTTCCAAATCCTTCTTTAAAGTAAAAGCTACCAACCAATGCAAACTATTTTTGCGCCTTCAGGCTTTTCTTTCAAACTTTTTCAAAAGGACATGTTAATTCACTTCTGTGATGACGCGTAAATCTCTAAAGGTCGAGTTACGACATAAGGAGAAATTAATATTGTTCATTAAAAAATACAAACCAACAAAAACATGTGAGCCAAACAACGACTGCTCTGATTCCTTAAAAGGGATATATAGGAATTTGGGTAGGGCCCGAACGAGCATAACTTTTATTTTCCCTACATTCTTTTCCCCTTTCTTTTGCATGCATTCCCTATATAACTTAGATATTGATTTGAACACACCCTTTTATTAGAACAACAAGAGTTAATACCATAGAGTACTACAGGCGTGTGGGGTGCTAATACTTTCCCCTTGCGTAATAGACTCCCTTACCCGATCTCTCAGTCGTTTGATCATGATTTCACCCTTCTCAGGTTTACTCAATGTTTAACTTTCCCTTCCTGTGGGATAAAAAATGTTCAATGGCGACTTCATTGATTTCATTATCAGTTAATTGTTCAGCCGGTTGTTTCAGCTGGTGACTTCACTGGGGACAGATTGACCTATTGCCGGTCCATCCTGGATTCGATCGTAGCTCTTGCTTTCTTTTCCTTGGGTGTTTATTTTTATGCTTCATAGCTTGTTCATTTTGTACATGTTTATTTAAGCATATGTTTGCATTTCATTTTATCGCTTTCCATATATAAGTTATATGCATTGCTGGATCTGTTTTCGTGATCGGGTGGGTGTTACAAGTGTTAAAAGTCACACGATTCGTTCAAAGTGAAAGTAAAAAAAGAAAATACAAAAATCCCTGCTAATTCGAAACTTGGAAACAAGTCGCTTAGGCAAAAGCCATGACAAATGAAAGGTAAATGGAAAGTCTGAAAGGCGAGAAGAGATTACACGAATCCTCAGCAAAGAACAAAGTCGTGTGACCAGAAGCACAAAAGAATGAAAGAGGTGAGTGGTTGTCAGGTCAAAAAACCTCGTTTTACTCCTCAATTATTCCAAAACTCCTCTTGAGAGTAGAATGTCCGCGTCAAATTAACTGAACTTAGGACTGGAGAACATCATGAAGGGGGTGGGGACCAAATACTTTTGATCCTTAAATCCTTTTTTCTAAAACCATGAACCAGGCAATGTTATAACCCTTAAAAGCCCTAACTAAAGCATGGTTTAATTTGAAAGCATACTGTAACGATATTAAAGTAACATGGCTTCTAGGAGGCTTGCTAAAACTTTTGAGTTGGTGTGATACGGTGGGAGAACTGACTTGAAGGTTTGCATTTGATTGCAAATGTTGCGGTTAGCAAGAGTCGCCACCGACTTTTCTTTTATCCAAAAGGAAAGGTGAAAAAGCACAGGAAAGACCTTTGAGATTATTTATTGAGTCCGGGGGGTAGATTATGAAAAGGGAAGGTATTAGCACCATTTTCATTCATGGTTTTCCAAGGGCTCTTAGTTACTTGCTAGATCACTTGCTTTTGTTTGAAATTATGCTTTGTGTGGTTTCTTTGAAAGTATTTTGTAAAGAGACCATCGTTTAGGCAACCTTTGTAATGATTCTCGTTCCTAAGAATGTATACAAAGTGTTTGATCTTTTGAAAATGTTTTCAAGTTTGTAAGATGTTTTAAAAATATGAGTGTTTTCTTTTGAAAATAACAAGGATGTTTGTTTTGAAATTGAGCAAGTAATTAGGAGAATTCTACCTACTCAAACGTCTTTCTTGTTCATTTTATTTTCTTTTGATATTGTTATCTTACCGTTGATTTGGTAAGTAACCCTATCTTTCGATGTAAGCGGGACGGGCGTGGATCATCGTATAACCATGATTAGCAATGTTGCAAGGTATCTTAGCGTTCTCTTTTAGGGACTAAGATCATTTGAAAGGCAACTTAGATAGCATCATCGAGGGACTATGATCTTGTCTTTGTTTGTTTTTGCTAAGATATCTCACATGCGTAATATGGCCATTTTGTAAAGGCAACCAAGTGGATTTACCCTAGGGGTGCTTGTGTGCAAGCGTATTGTTTTCATGCTTAATTTTGTCTTGAATTAGGGTTTTATAAGTATTGGTTTTAGTCTTTCCATACAAACCCTAATTACTAGCATGTTATGTATAAAGCGATGAATTGCGGAATTTAAAGTTACTACGCTATTACAATACTTGTGGGAAGGGGGTGTACAAATTGTAAATTAGGATTGCAAGAATATAAACCTAATTAATCTATTACAACCAAATTGAATTTGTACAAGAAATTAAATGGAAATAATGTACAAAATGAATAAATATGCAAGAATGCAAATATAAAGAAAATGAATATTTTTGTTTGGATTATTTAGGAAAAGTGAATTTGTTTTAACCTAATTAATTAAAAGAAAATAATTAATTAAAAATAATAAAAGTAAACCTAAATTAATAAGAAAAGATTTTAAATAAAATCCTAAGTCTATTAATTGATTAAAAGGAAATTAAGTTTAAGAAAAGTATTTTTGTATTTTTGTCTTGAAAATAATTTATAGCATTATAAAATATTTTTGGTCTTTTTATATTTTAAAATAATATATTTTAATTGGTGTAAAAGAAAATAAATAATAACCTAGTTTTAATTAAATTTACAAGAATAATTAGTAAAATGAATAAAGTATGGTTAAATAAAATATATTTTTTTGTGAGAAAAATAAACAAACTAAGTTAAAATATAAATCTACCATTTTTGTATTTTTTTAATGATTTTTAGTATTATAAAAAATAATTAAGAAAATATATAAAAAAGAAAATAAGAAAATAAGAAAATAAAATAAAATTTGGTAAGGGGTGCAAATAGTCCACAGGGGAGTTAGAAAGTAAAAACAAAAACAAAGCTCAAAGATGAAGCCCAGTGCCTGCAAAAAAGGGTCAGAAAATGCAAAAAATATGGAAAAAATCAAAAGGGTATCATTGGGGCTTGAACCCAGGTCCCAAAGGTTACAAGCGCGCGTTTCTACCACTGGGGTGGCTATACATCCGTTTATATAAATCAAATAATAAATACATAAGGCAAACACGTTCCATGGCCTGAACTTCATCTTCAACCTCACGCCCAGCCAGAGCTTCTATAACTCATTCAAATCTCAACAAAAATGAAAACTGTAAACATGAAACTTGTAGAAAATTTCCTCACGGTTTCAGAAATGTAAAGCATTAAAACTATAGCTCAAAGGTAAACATGAATTTTAATGGTCCTATTCTGAACCCTA